GCTTGAAGAACTCCCTTTAGCATTTCTTGTAAGACAGGTCTGGTGGTGATAAACTCCCTCAACTTTAATTTGCATGGGAAAGTCTTTATCTCTCTTTTGTTTCTAAAGAATAGCTTCTCTGGGTAAAGTATTTTTGGTTGGAAGTTTTCTTTTTCCCCTTCAGCACTTTGAATATCATCCCACTCTCTCCTGGTCTGTAAGATTTCTGCTGAGAAATCCACTGTTAGCCTTACTGGAGCTTCTTTACATGTGATTTGTTTCTTTTCTCTTGCAGCTTTCAGGATCCTCTCTTTGTCTTTGGTTTTTGACAAATTGATTATGTCTCAGGGGTAGTCTTGTTTTGATTGAATCAGATTGGAGATCTTTAACCTTCCTGTACCTGGATATTTATATTGCTCCCCAGGTTTGGAAGGTTTTCTGCTATTATTTCTTTAAATAAGTTTCCTTCTCCTTTGTTTCTCTCTTCTTCTTCTTGAACTTCTATAACATGAACATTTGCTCTTTTGATACTCTCCCCAAAGTCCCATACGTTTTCATCATTCTTTTTCACTCTTTTTTCTCCTCTGACTGTGTGTTTTCAAATAATCTGTCTTCAAGTTCACAGATTCTTTCTTCTGCTTGATCATTCTGTCACTGATGCTTTCTATTACATTTTAAAATTTCATTCATTGTATTCTTCTGTGCCAGAATTTCTGTTTGCTTTTTTTTTTTTTTTTAAATTTCAATCTTTCGTTACATTTCTCATTTTGGTCGCTTATTGTTCTTCTGATTTCACTGAATTACTTCTCTGTATTTTTTGAAGTTTGCTGAGCTTCCTAAATTATTTTGAATTTTGAATTATTTGTTAGGTTTTTTTTTCATTTCCTTTTTTTTTTTTTTGAGATGGAGTCTTGCTGTGTCCCCCAGGCTGGAGTGCAGTGGCTTTTTTTCATTTCTTTCTTGTCAATTTTGGGAGATTATTGTGTTCTTTTATGGCTGATATATCTCCTTGGTTTTACATGTTTCTTGTTGCCTTTCATTGATGTCTGCATATTTGATGGAGTCACCTCTTGCAGACTTTACAGACTATTTTCACTGTGGAAAGACCTTCCCCTACAGGGAGGTAGAAGGGTGCTTGCTGGTGGTGTGCAGTGGTTCTGTCACTAGTGAGAACACAGCTGTGTAGTCTGTGCAGCTGTGTCTTATATTGACATATCTTTCTTTTCCTAGAATAAAACCTACTTGACCAAAGTGTATGAGTTTTTTTTTCACTAATTAAGTACTTTATTGAATAAATACAATACCAAATAAAATGCATTCTAAAAAAGTTTTAAAGGCCTTTCTACTCAGGCTAATGACAAACACAACAAAGGCAGATATGCTAGTTTAATATAATTGGCTGATTTTATACAGCACTTATATCTTTTAGTCCACAAGTATATTATTAAATGATAGAGAACATCTAATACAACCATTTCTACAGAACTAGGAAATAAATTTCTAAGAAAGAAAGATTTTACAGACCCCATCTTTTATACCCACTCCAACAGTCTAACTCTAAAGAGGATAAAGGCAATGATTTTCCTCCCAAGAGCTCGCGACTAATGTTGCTTTGCTATCAAAATCTGTATTTCTGATCCGTTATGAGCATTGAGACAAGATTCAAATATTCCCGAAGAAAGAAGCACAATGCACGTTGTGATTGCCTATTAAGCAACAGCGAGCACTGCATCCAAAACTCTCATCCCAGGAATTAAATAAGGTCAGCCACATTCATGGGCATCCCCTCCACTGTAGTATTGTAGAAAGTCTCAATGTCATGAAGAATCCTCTTGTCTTCTTCAGTAACAAAGTTTATAGCCACACCTTTCCTCCCAAATCGACCCCCTCTGCCAAGTCGACTCGCTCTTTATTCAAACAGTGTGCTGTTTCACTTACGATTCCATGTCCTAACTTACGTCAGTGCCATTTCTGAGTGCCATCTCGTCATCGACTGCTGCTATTGACCCCTGTGAAAATAGTTTTCACGATTGGTAGGTAGATCATAATTTATAACCAAAGACACTTGTTGCACATCATTCCCACGAACCAACAAGTCAGTAGTGATCAGAACATGACTTGACCCTGACTGGAATTTCCTCATGATAACATCTCTCTCCTTCTGGTCCACGTCACCATGCAGAGCAGAAACTGTGAAGTCTCTGGCATGCATTTTCTCAGCCAGCCAGTCCACCTTGTGCCTCGTATTGAGAAAAATAACAGCCTGCATAATGGTCAGTGTCTTGTACAAGTCACAAAGTGTATCCAACTTCCATTCCTCTCTCTCAACATTAATATAAAACTGTTTGATTCCTTCAAGGGTCAATTCTTCCTTTTTCACCAGAATTCAAACTGGATCTCTCATAAATTTTTTGGTCACTTCCAACACATCCGTTGGGCATTGTGGCAGAAAGCAACACAACCTGAATACTTGTGTTTAGTTTTTGGAAAATCTCATAGATTTGATCCTTAAACCCATGGCTCAACATTTCATCTGCTTCATCCAAAACAAACATTTTGATCAATTTTGGAGAAAGATGTCTTCTGTTTAACATATCAAACACTCTCCCGGTGTACCAACAACAATATGTGGTGCTTCAGCCTGCAGTTTTTGCATTTCATTTGGAACATTTGTTCCACCAATGCAGGCATGACAAGTTGCTCCCATATAGTCTCCAAGTGCCAGAATTACCTTTTGGATCTGTTGAGCCAGCTCTCTGGTGGGGGCCAATACTGATGCTTGGGTCTCCTTGAACTCAATCTCCAACTGTTGCAGGATGGAAATAGCAAATGTGGCTGTCTTGCCAGTACCTGACTGAGCTTGAGCAATCACATCATACCCTGAAAAAAGTAGGATACCTATTTACCGATCCCACATCAAATTGTCACTTCTACTTCACACCATGTATTTCATTTGGAACATGCATTATGCCCAAATAATCAAGAGATCAGCAATGAGTATTCTCTTCATTTCAGGTCAGTCCCAAAAGATGATTGCCATCGTTTCACACAGTGTATGATTTTAATATACATTTGTTTTTTCCATCTATCATAAGAAATGAAAACTGTTCTTTTTTGAAATAAGAAAGTTTTGATACTAAGGTGTGTTAGCATCATGAATTGAGGAAATTTCTAATTTTTTTTTCTATGGCGTGGAATACTTTGACTAACATAAAAATTATCCTTATTGGAATGTAAGCTAAAACTAATTTGTAAAATCATTTTGGCCTAGAACACTTTTATAGGGGATGCCATCATTTAGGTATTTTAAGCATTAAAATTAATTTGAACCTAGGCTTCTGGTAAACCTGAAATCTAGGTAATTTATCTCCTCTTTTGAAGACAGCCAGAAAAGTTAAATAAAAAATCTACTTGAAGGTATTAGGACATAATAAAATAGTGAAGAAATACTGGCCCCAAATTTGGCAGAAGTGACAAACCATTTTGGGTTGCTTCTCCTCTCAGAAGAAACTGCCAATTCAGTGTGGGAGGTACTGAGAGGCTGAATGATGCTTTTTTGGAAAGTAATATGTCTTTTATAGTCTGCTTTTGATATTTTCTCTTTTTCTTTCGTTTTCTGTAGTTCTACCGTGCTATATCCAGGTATGCATTTCTTGTACTTTTTCTGCTTGGGTTTTCAAAGTTTCTTAAATCTGTGCTTGATCTCTTTCAACACTTTGAGTAAATTCTAGGGTGTTATCTCTTCCATGATAATTTGATTCCATTAACATGTATTGTTCAGTTATTGTTTTGCCCCCTCACCCATGTGTTTTCTTTACATATATGAAGAAGGTCAACATATGCCTCAGTCTTTCTTTATCTTCTCTTTCTTTTAGCAGCTTTTCTGATTTTCCCTTATTCTTTTTTTGTCCTCATTATGCCCCCAAATTCTCTATTCTTTTATTCCGGATTCTGTCACCCAGCCTATCTTTAGCCCAGTCTAACTAGCTATTAAGCTAATCAATTAAGTGTGTAATTTCAGTTATTTTATTATTATTTAGTTATAGGATTTTTACTTGATTTTCGTCTTAGCCAGGGTTCCCTAGTGATTGGATTCCATTGAATTTTGTGCTCTACAAAAAGATATGGCAAAGCCCCAACCCCCAGTGCCTCAGAATGTGACCTTATTTGGAAATTGGGTCTTTACAGGGGTATTCCGTCAACATGAAGTTATTAAGATGGACCATAATTCCATATGACTGGGGTCCTTCCTTATACAAAGGGGAAATGTGGACATAGACGGACAGACATACAGGGAAGACGACAGGAAAACATGCAGGTGAGAACGCCGTGTGAAGATGGAGGCAGAGATGGGAGGGATGCGGCCAGAAGCTGAGGAATGTTGGGGGCCGCCAGAAGCTGGAAGAGGCAGGAAGAATTCTCCTTAGAGGCTGCAGAGGGAGCACAGCCTGGCTGATTACTTGATTTTGCACTTCGGCTTCCAGAACCGTGGGACAATGAATTCCTGCTGTGTGAAACCCTCCAGCTGTGGTGCATCCTCATGGCCTCCCTAGGTAACAGATCCCTCTGGAAGGCAGAGTGCCAGGCAAGGACAACGCTCCTGTTTTATTAGAGTGAAATCCAGGGGGCGCAGTGAGGAAGAAGGGAAGGGACACAGATATGGCAGAGACAGGGCTGCAGACAAGTGCGACTGATGACCGCTTCTCAGAGATATACCTTCTAAGAGGCTGTAAAACGGCCGGGTGTGGTGGCTTAGGCCTGTAATCCCAGCACTTTGAGAGGCCGAGGCGGGCGGATCACCTGAGGTCAGGAGTTCGAGACCAGCTTGACCAATATGGTGAAACCCCATCTCTACTGAAGAAAATACAAAAGTCAGCTGGACGTAGTGGCGGGTGCCTGTAATCCCAGCTACTCAGGAGGCTGAGGCAGAAGAATCACTCGAACCCGGGAGTTCGAGGTTGCATTGACCCGAGATCGCGCCATTGCACTCCAGCCTGGGCGAGAGGGAGACCCTGTCGGAAAAAAAAAAAAAAAAGCCGTAAAATGACAGACTCTCAGCACATTCTGTTCAGGAGGAGGAATGGGGAATAATTTATTTACCAGTCAGTGCCAAATCCCATTTATCAGGGGTTCACCCCGTGGAGCATGAATACCTCACATTACTGGGTGGCACAGGCGTGGGTGCTGAGTGAGTCCTGGGGCGTTTCTTGCCTTGTTGGCAACAGGGAAGGACCGAGGTAGGAGACAAGCGGCATTCACCGCAGGCTTGGGGTGAAATGTGCTGCCCACTCCCTGTGGAGTCAGGCATTGCCCACACAGAACGGGTGACCACCGGGGTGGTGGAAGCCAAACAGATGGCTGCTATGGACCAAATGTTTGTGTTCCTCCGACATTCACGTGTTGAAGCCCTAACCCTCAATGGGAGAAAATTAGGCTGAGATGAGGTCATGAGAGTGGAGCCGCCATAATAGGAAGGATTAGACCCCTTCTAAGACCAGAGCCCTGGCTCTCCACCATGTGCGGACACAGCAAGAAGCTGGCCATCTGCAAACCCCCAAGAAGGCCCTCACCAGGAAATAAATCTGCCGACACTTTGACTTTGGGCTTGTCAGCCTCCAGAACTGTGCAAAATAAATCTGTTATGTAAGCCACCCAGCCTGTGGAATTTTGCTATGGAGCCCTGAGGCGGCCAACACACAGCCAACGGCTCCAGAACAAGGAGACCGAGAGAGTCTGCCCAGGTCTTAAGAGGCACTGGATGTAACTTTCGTTTTTCTTTCTTCTTCTTTTTTTTTTCTTTTTAACAGTTTTCAGATCTCTGCCAAAATTCTCAAATCTTGTCTTTTTCCTCCATAAACAAAGAATGCATATTTATTTTGAGATCTGTGTATCATAATTTCGTTATCTGGGTGACTGTGGACCATTCTGTTTTGTTTGCCCAAACAGTCCGTCTTGTCTCCTTGTGTGCCTATTGTGTGATAGGGCATCCATTGGCGTATTGTAGAAATACATCAAGATGTAGGAGGCCTCCCTCCAGGTGTGAGATAAATTGGCTCTGTCAGGCACCAGGGGGCACCAGAACTCTATGGTTGCCTTAATCCAGTTTTAGGAAGTGTGATGATTCAAAGGCGCACTTTACTTCCCCAACTCAGCAAGGCTGGAATGCCTCTGGGTTGCCCTTATACCAAGGCCACGAGTCCCCACTCCAAGCAAGAGAGGTCCCAGAGCCTACCTTTGGTGGGTCCTGCACTCCTACCCCTTTCCCTTATGCTTGTAGCTAATTTTCAACAGAAATAAAGGAAGTCAGCAGCATTAGAACCACGTTTTTAGAGTGCTGCAAGAAAAATAGCTGCTAAACTGGGATTTTCTATGAAAAGAAAATATCCTTCAAAACTAAAGATAAAGATATCTTCAGATAGATGTTTGGCATGAGAAGAACTACACTAAAGAGAATACTTCCAGAACCAATACAATTGGGTTTTGCAAAAAAGAAAATACTAAAAGGTATCTTCAGGTCAAAGGATGAACCCAGGCAAAAGGTTAGAGATGCAGGAAAGCATGAAGTGCAATTAAAAGAGTCAATAGATTGGGAAATCTAAATGAATATTCAACCGGGTGTGGTGGCTCACTCCTGTAATTCCAGCAATTTGGGAGGCTGAGGCAGGAGGATTACCTGAGGTCAAGAGTTCGAGATCAGCCTGACCAACATGGTAAAATCCAATCTCTACCAAAAATACAAAACTAGCCAGGCTTGGTGGCACATGACTGTAATCCCAGCTACTTGGGAGGCTGAGGCAGGAGAATCACTTGAACCCAGGTGGTGGAGGTTGCAGTGAGCCGAGATTGCACCATTGCATTCCAGTCTGGGTAACAAGAGTGAGACTCTGTCTCAAAAATAAAAAAAAAAAAAAAAAGAATATTCATAGCATAGGACAATGACATCTTGTTGGGTTAAAAATATGAATAGAATGAAAATGTGTGGCAACTTGGCCTATAATTTGTGAGAGAATAGATGGAGTAAAAATGTTGTAAGATTTTTGCATTCTCATAAAAGTACCATTTATTATTAGACTTAGTAAGTCCAGAAGCATGTTATAATTAATCTCTAAGGCAACTATTAAAAGAATAATACAAGATTGCATAACTTTCAAGCTCACAGGATAAAAAAATGGAAAAATAATGCCAGGTGCATTGGCTCACACCTATAACTCCAGCACCTTGGGAGGCCAAGACAGGAGGACTGCTTGAGGCCAGGAGTTCCAGACCAGCTTGGGCAACATAGTAAGATCCTGTCTCTACAAAAAAAAAAAAAAAAAAATTAGCTGGGTGTAGTGGTTCACGCCTGTAGTTCTAGCTACTTAGGAGGCTGAATAGGAGGATCGCTGGAGTCCAGGAGTTCGAGGATACAGTGAGCCATCTTCATGCCACTGCATTCCTGCTTGGGTAACAGTGAAATCCCATCTCAAAACAGACAAGCAAAAATGGAATAAAAATAATTCATTCAAAGTAGATAGCCAAAGAGAAAAAGGAATATAGATCAAGTGAAAGATTGTAAAGAATTATTAAGCCCAAATATGTCAGTAATTACTAATATATTTTAAACCAAATATATCAGTAATCACATTAAATAAGAATAGCCAGGGACTACTAATGAACATCAAAAAACAGGGATCAGATATATCCTACCACCTGAATCATTCAAAGAATGGACAAAATATATGACATGATGAGAGAATCAGGCACCAAAGGATAGTGATTCTTGAGACATGAGAAATAAATGGGGCAAACCCTATTATTACCCCAGCTTGCTGCCTTGAGAGTTTCTTAGATGGAGCTTGGTGGACTCTCTGAGTTGAGGAGATGGAGCTGAGAGTCCGAGG